CAACACATCTTGAAGAACAACAATTATGAGAAGGTGAGTTACTGTTCTTGATTCTTCGAGTGCTTGCTCATGTCGATTCCAATTAGGTGACTCCTAAGCCCTAACTAGGAGGTGGGTTGGAGCTTATGGAATTACAGATAGGAGCACTGCTCTGCCAAAAACCACATCATCCCAGGTGTGCTGGGTAGTAGCATAGTAAGAGGTGAAAGTGTGAACCGAGGACCAAGTCACCACTCCTCAAATCTCCTGGATCAGGACATGGGCCAGGAACGCTGCAGAGGAGGCCTCTGCTTTTGTGGCATGTGCTGTCAGTGCAGGGGCCGGTACTTTTGCAAGATCGTAGCATGCCCAGATACAGAATGTGATCCATGACAAAATTCTTTGCAATGACACCAGGAGGCCTTTCATTCTACCTGCAACTGCCAAGAACAACTGGTTCAACTTGCAGAATGGTTTCATGCATGCAATGTAAAAGGCCAGTGCTTGTCGAACGTCCAAGGAGTGTAGCCTTTGCTCCCAACTATCCGCATGAGGCTTAAGATAAAAGACTGGGAGAAAAATGTCCTGACTGGCATAGAATTGGGAGATAACCTTTGGAAGGAAGGCTGGGTGAGGCCTAAGTTGCACCTTGTCCTTATGAAAAATGGTATAAGGAGGGTCGGAGGTTAGAGCCTTAAGATCAGACATTCACCTTGCTGATGTTTTGGTGACCAGGAAACGACTAACCATCAGGTTGGCAAAGACTGAATGGCCAGCCGCTCCTGGGTGGAATGTCGAAATGACCACCAGGTGGACCTTGAGAGATGATACTGAGAGGACCTGCTGTTTGAAATGTAATAGGTAGTCTAAGATGAGCGGTATAGAAGCCTGCATCGGGAGAGCACAACCCTGAGAGCACCAGATTGCAAATCTTTTCCACTTGTCTAGGTAGGTAGCCCTGGTGGAGGGTTTCCTGCTGCCAAGTAGGACCTCCCTAATGGCCTCAGAGCACATTAGCTCCGTGAGGTTTAACCATGAAGCTTCCAAGCGGTGAGGTGAAGAGACTCGAGGTTGCGATGATGGAGATGGCCTTTGTCTTGGGTGATCGGGTCTGGAAGCAGGGGCAAAGAGATTGGGGTGTCCACCGATAGCTCCAGGAGCATGGTATACCAGTGCTAGTGGGGCCAGGTTGGTTCTATCAGTATGACCGCTGCCCCTTCCCTGCGGATCTTGAGCAGAACCTTGTGAACGAGTGGAAATGGAGGGAATGTGTACAACAGGTGGTTTGTTCAAGGGAGGAGAAACATATCTGCAAGGGAGCCCAGACTTTGATTCAGGAAGGAATAGAACCGGAGGCATTTTCTGTTTCTCTTTGTGGCAAACAGGTCAATATGGGGAACTCCCCACATTTGGAAAATGTTGTTCACGTCTGGGGGAATAGACGACTCGTGATTGTGAAAGGATCTGCTGAGATAATCCACCAGCTTGTTCTGAGAACCTGGGAGGAAGGATGCTTCCAGGTGAATTGAGTGGGCTATGCAGAAGTCCCACAGCTTGAGGACTTCCCAACATAGGGGAGAAGAATGAGCTCCACTCTGCTTGTTTATATAAAACAAGTTGTGTTGTCCATCATCACCTCCATGCATTTCCCTTGCCAGTGAGCCTGGAAGGTCTGGCATGCTAGGTGGACCGCTCTCAGCTCCTGGACATTGATGTGGAGCGAGAGCTCATCTTGTGACCAGAGACCTTGGGTTTGAAGGTCTCCCAGGTGAGCACCCCACCACAACTGTGACCCATCTGTAACCAGGGACAGGGAGAGTTGGAGCTTGGCAAAGGGGACTCCTGCGCATACCTTCTGTGGGTCGAGCCACCAGTGGAATGACTTCAGAACTGGCACTGGGAGGATGACCATCTTGTCCAGACCATCATGCCCTGGCCGATAGGCCAATGCTAGCCGGCCTGGAGAGGTCTGAGCCTCAGCCTCGCATGCTGTACCATGTATGTACATGCTGCTATGTGACCAAGGAGCTTCAAGCAATTCCTTGCTGTGGTGGTGGGGTACTGCTTGAGGCTTTGTATGGTGTCTGTCGTCCAAAACTGAGACTCTGGCATGAATGCTCTGGCCTGGCCCGAGTCCAATATTGCTCCAATAAACTCCATCCTCCGTGTAGGGGATAGGATTGATTTGCACACATTGAGAAGGAGACCCAACCTGTCGAAGGTGGATCTTACCAAGTTGACAAGGAGTTCTATTTGTATGTCCTTTTCTAAAAGGAACTTTTGGAAAAACAGGCTCACCTCAAACTGTTTCTCTAGGGCTGATCTAGATAGCCTGCATCGGACCTGGGAAAGGAAGACCTCCCCTTGAAATTAGCTTGGTCTGAGTCCAGAGGTGTCCTGGTAAGCTCAAGATCACCACCTGGTTCCTGAGCCCAATCCTCTAAGACAGCCTGGGTTCGGGCTGAAGTCTGGCCTCTGGGACCCTGTGAAATGGGAGAGTCCCAGAGCTCAGGCTCCAGCCCTAGCCCAAATGTCTACCTCACAATTAAACAGCCCCTTAGTCTGAGCCCCGCAAGTCCAAGTCAGCTGGCAAGGGCCAGCTACGGGTGTCTAATTGCAGTGTAGACATACCCTCAGTGCACTGCACATGACTGCAGGGTAGATTTACACCCCAGCTTGCTGCCAACTAAGTATTCATGTACATAAGCCTCTAGACTGCTGACGGACTTCCTCAGGAATGCAAGGAGTAGTGCAAGGCTGTAATTTTGGATAGTCAAAATCTATATCTAAGCTCTCCTTACATGCTTCAAATATCATGGCAAGATCCATGACAACTTCCATTATCATGAGGAGAGCACCTTGGCTTCAGTCTGACTCTTAGTCCCAAAGGAGGTGCAGACAACAATTAAAGACGTCCACTTTGAAGACTGACTTCTTCAGTACAAAAACAGATGATGCTCTACATTTGTTGAAAGACTCCTGGTCTTTGTTTGGTAGGAATATACATACCATCTCCTTAAAGAAAACAGGAAAGGCCTCAGTTTTATTCCAGACAGAGATCATCACCAGCAGCTTTTTTCCAATCAAGATCATTGAAGCCTCTGAGGAAGGGGCAGCACTTTCCAAAGAGGAGACTTAGGCTTCTACATGATCTGCCTGTCAGCTGCGACAACCTCAGGGCAATCCTTCTGACATGATGCTCAAGAGTCACTCTTTAATTAGTCCATAGGATCTTCACCCTTTACTTCCCCTTGCAGGAGGGCCACGTTTTTTGGGATTTTTTAGGAACCTCATTGCATCAGACTGCTGGGTTCCAAAAATAGTCTGTCCCTATTGCCCATCTCCTTCCCCTTCCCTATTCAGCAGCCTGTCTCACGAGAGACTATTACTCAGGCGGTAGAATTACTTCTGTCTCTTGGAGCAAGAGAAGAAGTTCCACTGCAATATAGGCAGAAGGGATTTAGTCCTGAAGACAAAAAGGGGATGGCATCTACTTCTGGACTTCAGGAGGCTCAACACTCTCATCTGCCTCATCAAGTTCAGAATGGTAATCCTTGTCTCCATAATTCCATCACTAGATGCTCAGGACTGATCTGCAGTTCTCGACCTGCAAGATGCATATTTCCACATATCAATTCTCCCTGCACACAGCTAGTACCTGAGGTTCCAAGTAGGACAGGCCCACTACAAATACAACATGCTACCCTTCTGAGCTTCGGCAGCTCTGAGGGTCTTTACCAAATGTTTGGTAGTTGTGTGGCTCACCTGAGAAAAGATGGAATAATAGTTCATCCTTAACTTGATGACTTGCTGGTTTGAGGGAAGTCGCCACAACAGGTAGAGGAATCCATTAAATTGCTCCAACTTTTCATTGCACTGGGCCTAACAATCAACAGAGAGGAATCTTCCTTGGAACCCACACAGAGAATAGAATTCATAAGGGATGTGTTAGACCTTCATTACAGCCAAGGTTTACCTGCCTCAACACAGATTTTAAGCCGTGAACACCTTGTCAACCAGCTGCAGAAACAACCATGCACTATGGTGAGAACTTGCCTAAGTCTGCTCAGTTACAAAGCTTCCTGCATGTTTGTCATAAAGCATATCACACTTCACCTAGAGTGCACGCAGAGCTGGATGAAGTCTGCATACCTACTGAACATGCACCACGCAGAGATGTCAGTGCATGACATCAATGGGAGTTTGTCATTGACTTCACTGGGAACAAAATTGGGCCCTAATATGCTTCTTAAAAAAAAAAAAAGCAAGCCCCTTTTCACTTGCAAAACACAATCTACACACAAATTAATGTGTCACACACTAAAATCCAAATACTCTCCAATCAGTGTGAATCAGCACACTCATCAAAGGCATTCCAAACCAATCTGGGATTTGGTGCTGGGACTGAATTCTTCCCAACAAACCAGCAGTGGGACACAGAAGCACCAATTCAGCCCTTGCACAACTTCTACTACGGGTCATGGGCTGCTGGCCCATGTATCCTCCTACACACAAGGGGAATTGGCCCAACCAAGTACTGTTTTGTGTACTGCTGCAGAGTATTTTTGTGTGGCATACAGGGGATGTGAATTTCCTTTCAATGATCTGGCCCCTTGTACACGAGACCCTGGGTGGTTCCAATGCTTTTTGTACCTTGTCCACCCAGGTAAGTGGACTCGATTTGTACCACTTTGTATAATGAACTATGTACAGTGCAAAATCCCCTCAACGATTTTCAGACAAAACAATGATGCTTATCATCACCTTACAAAGGTAATTATGCACAAATACATAGTTGAAATGAACATAGAACAGTATGTGGATGGTTGGTTGATTAGAGATATAACATTGCACATTTGTATGCCAAATGAGCATATTATATAAGGCTGCACATTATTGTTCCATTAGTTAGGAAGGTTCTAGGCAGGAGAGGCCATAGGCACAATACAAATAGAGTATCTTTCTGAGAGTCACATACAAGGCAGATAGTTTCAGAATACTATTGGGCCACAATAACTCACCAGCAAGACAGTTTCCAAACTCCTCCATCTGTTAAGGATCTGTCCCTATTTCTGCTTAATCAGCTGTGGTAGGCACCTTTCTTTTCCAAACATACTCAAGAATCCACTGTGCTAGTTGCATGACATCATCTCTCAGGCATCAGTGTAGCTGGTCAAAACAGGCTGGGGCACATTTCAGTATTAAGAGTACATAGTGGATGCACTGAGCGGAAATAGACTCATATAAAGCAGAGAATGGAATGGTAACTAGATGTCACATATCTAACATATACGGTAATGTATGTCTTCTGTTATAAATATATCTGTGTACAGAGCACCATAATCTATGCTTTACATTCTTCCTCTGAGGCTAGACATATAGGAGTGTTTAATTTTTACTGAATATTTTTGGTAAAGTCAAACCATTTTTAATACAGCAGGTTAGCTTCTGCTCTCAGATACACCAGTACAACCCCATTAAATCAATAGGTATACACTGGTGTAGCTAAGAAATTGTTGCAGTTATTGCATTTAGAGTTCCATATTCTTTGTTTGAGGGGGAAGGATGATGTATATAGTTGGGAGGGTAAAATTGATTTAGGCTGGCTTCTCTTATGCTAAGGTTACCTACTGCCTATGTTGCAGGAATTTTATGATTTGAGGGCTAAGCTATTTCAAATCACAATAACTTTGTGCTCCTTCTGGGTACTCTAGGCAAATTATACTGCATATTGATTTTCTCAAATGCCCTTTACTTTAATTAATACTATGATTTTATGGTTATCTGGTCACAAGATCACAAAATTCCTGTTAAAACGCAAACAAAATGCAATATTTTGATAAAGTTCAATAAATGTAGGTCAGTATAAATCTGTGAAATGATGCTGTTCTATGCAGCACCATTAAAATCTGTATATTGCTGAAATCATCATTTAAAGACCTTTCCAAAAGTGCCAGGAACAATATTCTATATCTATTTTTAACCTTTATACAGATAGCAGGAACATGGTAATCCAAATCTGCATCTCATAGCCAACACCACTGCATGTTTCATAATGAAACATCAGAATAACAGTAAGTTACATTGGCACATGAACAACTTTTATTTTAAAACCTAATGTGAAATAATCAATAATGTACAAGTCAACAGCTACCTCACAGATTTGTTAGGCACAATCTTATCTGTGATGAGACACAATGAAAAGTGTCTCTGAGCACATCAGCTCATAAACATAGGCACATTTTGGATGTCATTGAAACAGTCCCCTCTACAGTGGTACCAAGCAAATGTACTTTTTTCCCAAACTATCATCAATGTTCCTTTGCTTATTCAGTCTTTTGCAGATCATTTTGCACACAGCATCCACCAAAAGTGCACATATTTATTTTCTTGACATAGGAATCTCACAAAACAGCAGACCAGTTTTTGAAAAATATTCCAAAAATTAATTAATATAAAACAATTTTTGCATCTGCAGAATTCCTATTTTCTCTCACCACAGAGCTTGATGAAAACACAGACGGTTACGCCCTAGCTTGACAAAACTATTTGGCAGAGGTGCTTAATGACTTCTTTGTTTTGGTTTTCACCAAGAAGGTTGGTGGTGATTTGGACACCTAACGTAGCGAATGCCAGTGAAAATGAGGTAGGATCAGAGTCTATGATGGGGAAAGAACAAGTCAAAAATTACTCAGACAAGTTAGATGTCTTCAAATCACCAGGGCCTATGAAATGCATCCTACAATACTCAAGGAGCTGACTGAGGAGATATCTGAGCCATTAGCAATTATCTTTGAAATAAGATGAGATGAGAGACATTCCAGAAGACTGGAAAAGGGCAAATATAGTGCCCACATATAAAAAGGGAAATAAGGACAACCCGGGGAATTACAGACCAGTCACCTTAACTTCTGTACCCAGAAAGATAATGGAGCAAATAATTAATAAATCAGTTTGCAAACACCTCGAAGATAATGAGGTGATAAGTAACAGTCAGCATGGATTTGCCAAGAACAGATCGTGTCAAACCAACCTGATAGCTTTCTTTGGCAGGATAACAAGCCTTGTGGATAGGGGGAAGCAGAAGATGTGGTATATATTGACTTTAGTAAGGCTTTTAATACTGTCTCGCATGACCTTCTCAAACAAACTAGGGAAATACAACCTATATGGAGCTACTATAAGGTGGGTGCATAACTGGTTGGAAAATCATTCCCAGAGATTAGTTATTCACAGTCATGCTGGAAGGGCATAACAAGTGGGGTCCCGCAGGGATTGGTTCTGGGACTGGTTCTGTTCAATATCATCATCAGTGATTTAGATAATGGCATAGAGAGTACACTTATAAAGTTTGCAGACGATACCAAGCTGGGAGGGGTTGCAAGTGCTTTGGAGGATAGGATTAAAATTCACAATGATCTAGACATACTGGAGAAATGGTCTGAAGTAAATAGGATGAATTTCAATATGGACGAATCCAGAGTACTCCACTTAGGAAGGAACAATCAGTTGCACACATACAAAATGGGAAATGACTGCATAGGAAGGAGTACTGCAGAAAGGGATCTGGGGATCATAGTGAATCACAAGCTAAATATGAGTCAACAGCATAACACTGTTGCAAAAAAAGCAAACATCATTCTGGGATGTGTTAGCAGGAGTGTTGTAAGCAAGACATGAGAAGTAGTTCTTCCACTCTACTCTGCACTGATTAGGCCTCAACTGGAGTATTGTGTCCAGTTCTGGGTGCCACATTTCAGGAAAGGAAAACAAATTGGAGAGAGTCCAGAGAAGAGCAACAAGAAGAAAACATGACCTGTGAGGGAAGATGGGAAAAATTGGGTTTGTTTAGTTTGGAGAAGAGAAGACTGAGAGGGGACATGACAACAGTTTTCAAGTACATAAAAGGTTGTTACAAGAAGGAGGGAGAAAAATTGTTTTTCTTAACTTCTGAGGATAGGCCGAGAAACAATGGGCTTAAATTGCAACAAAGGCGGTTTAGGTTGGACATTAGGAAAAGCTTCCTAACTGTCAGAGTGGTTAAGCACTGGAATAAATTGCCTAGGGAGGTTGTCGAATCTCCATCATTGGGGATTTTTAAGAGCTGGTTAGACAAACACCTGTCAGGGATGGTCTAGATAATACTTAGTCCTGCCTTCATTGCAGGGGACTGGATTAGATGACCTCTCACGGTCCCTTCCAGTCCTATGATTCTCTGATTCTATTTGACTATATTAAATTCCCTTTCCACACATGGAGCACCCACAAGAGTCAATGGAAGTTTTGACCTGAAGCGGAGGTTATAATACTGATCACTATGAATGAAGAGGTTGGGGTTGAGGGGCTAACACAGTATATGAAATATTTACATCCTTGATTGCATGAGGCATTCACAGAGAAAGGATTACTTATTACTACTTGTTGAATGTACTGTTTATAAAGAAAAATAGAAACAGTTGAGAGGGAGGGCCTGATTCAAAGCCCATCAACGTCATTGGGAGTCTTTCCATTGACATCAGTGAGTTTTGGATTTTTGTGTGTGCGCAAGCATATATGCATGTGGTTGTGATCTCAGTGTTATTGGTAGACATACGATGTCTAAAGGTAATGTCTGTAGTATGTACTTTACATATATGCTGGTTTCATCTGTCTCTTTACATACTGGCCAACTGTCCCACTGCAGAGAGCATAGTCTCGGAGACGAAATATTATACTGTGAATTATATAGAGTCATATTTAACGTCTTTTTCATTAATTCCTTGGGTTTGATCTCACTACCATTGATATTAATGGGACTAAGATTTAGTCTTTAAAATGTGATAGAAAGGACATGTGGGGATTTCAGGGTGTAAATCATTTTAGAATAAATCGAAATTGGTATAATTTTGCTAAGCAGTCTATACGTATAGTAGTGTTTAGATTAATACATACTTTACATTTTGTGATGACTTCAAGGACAGAGCCATCAGAGGTAACTATATATGTCAACAATATTATAATAAAGTAAAGTAATGTAAACATTATGCATACAATATTACTGAAACAGAATATGTTAGCAAAATATGTAGGCTGTTGAAAATATTTTCAAGTATATTGAAAATTATATAGTTATTTAAAAGAACTTACGTTCATGAGTGGTTTCATGTAGAACATTAATGAAGAGATGTGTGGCTATTTGTAAGGAATTGTGATGATCTTAGGATAGTACTTTCTAATAAAATTATATATTGCCTTGAACTTCATTTCAACAAATGATCTAAACTTTTTTTTTACTTGAAAAAATTATGGTAATGAATAATTCATTCTAAATAATGTAGTAAATCCTAACTGATGACATGGGACAAATATTTTACCCTTTGTTATAATTAAATCTGTAATAAAATGCATATATATTTATTGATATCTTTCTTTGGGGATTTTCACCAGTTTTCTCTTGAACAATATAACTTCTTATTCATTGTTGGGTAAAAGTGGATAAGAATAGGAAGAAGTTATAATCATATACTTATAGGCAGTTTATCAGCTATTTACAGTGGTACTCATGCTGAATGGAAGAATCTAATGAAAAAGAACGAGATGCAGTATTAAATATGTAAAATATAGAATATGTGCACAAATATTTAAGTATAAAGTTGCCTAAAATAAAAAAGTTAACTCGATAACACATGCACTTTTTAAAAAAATTATTTATGGTTAATATAGAACAAAGAGTTTCCTTGTAAAAATACTTATTTACCCACATATAACTGCTCTGAAGTCTGTACCTTAAGGACAAAGAAAGGTCACCAATCTCTCCAACTCCTAGTTCTTTGTCAAAAATGGACACAGTTAATGAGGTTTGTTTGGTACAGCACAAATTCTCAGACACAGATAGAGATCCTTTCAATGGAAACAAATTTGTTTGGCTTTACCAGGTTACTTAGCGATTAATAATAGCCTTGAGATGCAGGTCAGAAAGGTCATTGTACCTGCTTGCCAACACAATCTAAAATGTGCAGCTAGTCCAGGTCTGCAGGCTGCGAGGCCCCAAAATGCTATGCATAAAGTAAAAGAGGCTATTTTCCAACT